TTCCATGTGCTTCTGCTTCAGATTGACTGACTGGGCTCCAGTCTTTCCCTCCTCTTCGATCACCAGCATGGGTTTTTTTAAAGGTGATCCATATCTTCCAGCTTCCACCTGGTGCCAGTTCAGCTGGTGATGCCGGGGAAGCTGTGGGAGGAGGTGGGATGCTCAGGGTTTGCTCAGCAGGAAGGAGGCACCAGGACTCAGCTGTGTGCATGGACCAAAATTCCCTGCCTTTATCTCATGCTTGAACACATCCTTACCTGGTGTAAGCCAGCTCCCTTGGCCAAGGGCCCACGATGCTCTCTGGAGACACAGAGATGGGCTGTGCAGCTGGGGTTTCCAGATCTTCCATGCACATGAGGCGGTCTGGGGCTTACCCCTGAGCTCCCTGGTGCTCAGTGTCCCGTGGGGTGGCTGCGCACTGAGCGAGGGACCCCTCTTGGGGTGGGTGCGTTTTGGGGAGTTTGTGTAGCTGCTCCCACATGCAGGGCTCCTGGTTTATTGGGGTCCTGGGCAGCCAGGGGTCCCTTTAGTGAACGCTACTCTGTGTGGGGTGGGTTGCTGGGGGTTGCACCTGCTTGCTTGTGCCTGGGCTGCTGCTTCCCTCTGCCTTCAGGGGATGTCATCCCCCACCAGCGTCTTCCTCCCATCACTGGAGCTGCCACATAGCAGTGAAGCTGCTGCTCCCTCTCTGTCTGCTAGCAACAGAGCTGGGGTCTCCTACCGCTAGGGCGATGCCGCGACTCCTGGTGGCACTGTAGCCTTTAAGTGATATGTGTGGAGGCACACCGAGCTAGCAGACAATTTGGTGAGTGAATGCAGATGTGGTACGTGCCTTTCCCTGAGGTCAAGGACAGAGTTGCAGCTCCCATGGGTGCCATTTTGCCCATCGTCAAGGGGAGCAGCTGTTTCCACACCCAGGACATGGTGTGGTTGACCCTGTGGTAGTGCTCGGTGGTTTCCCCAAGCCCCACTCAGTTTGCTGTGAACATCACTCATAGACACAAGTAATGCGAGTTTCCTATCCCAGCTTCAGAATGAATACCTAATGGGTATGGCCATGGCTGTGTTTGAGGCCGTGATTACAGATGGGCTGGAAATGTGCCTTGATCCTCCTGCGACCACCAAAGCTGGCCCAGCAGCCTGTGTGGCGGTGCTTTTGGCACTGTGAGGGTTAACCAAGGGGCTTTTTCAGCTTGCATAGGACGTGCTGGAGGTTTTCAGAGGTCCCCAGCTCTCCTTTGCCCAGCTCTCTAAATTTAACCATGTAACCTTCCTAAAAATACTCAGAGGGCAGTAGCCCCCAGAGAGTACCAGGACTGCATGCACCTGGTTTCTAGACCAAGCCATCGGAGAGATGAGATCACCTGCCAACATGTGTCTCACAGCCCTGGAAAGCCCTTGGTTTTTACAAAGTCCCCTGCAGGATACAAGAGTCCAGGTCTGGATCCAAACCTGCCTTTCTGGGCCAGCCTGCTTCCTGCAACACCCTCCTCTTCCTCGGTTGCTCCTGGTGAGAGTTGGTGCCTGCCTGCACATCTCTGCCTGCGCTCACAGTGCCAGCTTCAGGTTTAATGTGCCACAGGCAGGAGCATCACCAGCTGCCCCTGGTACCTTGGGAGGGTGGAAGGGTCCATGGCCTTTCCCCAGAGCATCGTCTGAGCCTCCCCATGTGTGTGGGAGGCCCAGGCGAGGAGGAATAGCTGGGCCTTTCCACGCTTTCATTTTTTTTTAGGCATGTGGGAGGAGGGTGGAAAGGGCTCGAGGAGGAGGAGGAGGGAGGGAGCTGAATTTTCCATGAGCAGCTGTCAAAATGTAATCTCCTGCATCGCTTCGGCTGGCAGCTTAGGCAGGATAAATTAACGGGGATTTCAGGGAACGTGGAAAATACCATGGCCCGGAGGGGGCTGGCCATGTGGGGAGCAGCCCTTTCATCTGCGGGACCGGATCCGGGCCCCAGCACCTGCCTGAACCATGGAGGGGTGCTCTGAGGCGCTGGGCTCGACGCCTGCCACTGTTGGGCGCTGCCTGTCCTCTGGCTTCAGTGGTTTTCCATCCACCACCTTCCCCCAAAAGTCACCTGGAGAAGGGGCTAGGAGCCCGACTCCCTTCTCTGCGTCCCCTTTCCCACTAGTGGTGGGCCCCCTGCAGCTCCCGGTGCCTGCCGGGAGGGAGATGCCAGCAGTTGCTCTTGCAATGCCAAGTATTTGTGCTGACAGCTGGGGTGCAGTGTGGACCCCCGCCCTGCGGGCCCTTCCACGCTGGCTCCTCGCTCCCACTAAGACCCAGGAATTTATGCAATTGCTTTTTCTTCATTTTATATTCCTCCCCCCCTGCCTCCATCTTGTGAAATGCGGAGCCAGGAAGGTCTGTGTTCTTCGGCGCTTGGCTCAGCCCCTGGGCCCATGCGGCAGCCAGCGTCTGTGGCTGGAGCACACTATGCACGTGCTGGGGTTTGAGCCCGGGCCCCTCTGTCTGTGCAACATCCCTGCGTCCTTGCCACGGTGCTGTGGCAGCACTGGGGGTCCCTGTCCCCTGGCCAGCTGCCCAGGGAGCACCAAGGAGCGTGACGGGTGTTTGTGCTGGCTATTTATAAATGTACTAAAGCTCCCCCAGCCAGAAAAGAGGCCTGAAGATACAGCAACAGCTGCTTACCGGAGCCTGCAAAGGGCCCTGCTTTTTCCCCAACTCCTGCTGCTTTGCTGGGCAGCCACAGGCCAGGCATTCTCATCCGGGGCCCTCTCCCTTTGCCCCGGTTGCTGATCTCGTAAGATCCCTTCGGGTGCTGCCGGAGCTGGCAGATCTGGGGCAGTTGTTTAAAATAACACATTGGCACAGAAAAAGGGGGGACCGGAGAAAACGAGGTCTTCCCATGCAGTGCACAGGGGATGGTACCTAACCTCTGCAAATGCCTCACCCTGGCACCAAGTTCGCAGCCAAAACATCTTTTCCAAAGCGACCCCTTTGCAGCTGCCCTGCGCCAGGGGCTCGCTGCTGGAAACCAGTCCCCGGAGCTTCCCCGGTGGGGAGTGGTGCCTGCAGTGCTGGCAGACTGTCCGTGTCCAAGCAGGATCAGTGGGGCAGGCGGGCTGCCAGGGGAGCCGGGGGACAGGGCAGGTGTCTTGCAAGGGGAGGCTAGTTGGGTCTTGCAGAAGGCAGGCTGGGAGGCTATCTGAGCCTGCTCTATAAATACACCAGGCGGGTAAACACTTGGGAGGAGAAAAAAAAACACAGCTATTTCAGCTAATGGGCACTGCTGCCACAAGGTATAAATCGGTCAGGAGTAAAGTTAGGCTGGGAGGAGAAGGCAGATCAGTGCTGCTGCCCACAAGGCTCCGGCTGCTGGCGCTGCCCTTTCAGCCGGGGATTGGTGCAAATGTGGCTGGAGTCGCAGCGGATACTCCAAGCCTCAGCCTGGCTGGGGCAGGGATGTGTCCCTGTGGTGGCATGCTGCGGGCCAGCCTGACACCCTGCTGGAGGGGCCCCTGGGCTCAAGGGCTCCTTGTTTTAGCAGGTCCAGTCCCCCCACCATCCATGACGCTCATCCTTGCTGTGCCCTCCTGGGAAACAACCACCCTCCAGAGGGGCAGAAGTCAGTATCCCTGTCCTAGGCATTTATCTGGGGAGCTGGGAAGTAATCGGTATTTATCACCACTGCTAATAAGAGGGTGCTCAGATGTGGTTGTCCTGCTGTTTGCACAGCAGAGGTCTGAGGAGCCTCCTGTTAAAGCCACCTGCATTTTCTCCTTTCCAAGAAGCAAAAAAGTGCCCTCACCACGTCCACATGGTGGCAAACAAGAACCTGATTCATCCTTAGATAATTTGTGTATGTTCCTTTTCTCTTCTTTCCTGAGCAGCCTTTGCATATATATGAAGAAAGCTCTTAAGCAGCACTGCAGTCAAACCTGATCTGCTTTTAGAAGACAGGTCCTTAAATTACCCTCTCCCTCTCTGCAGGCAGGGAATTGCTAGATATTCTGGTGCAAACCCATGGTGGCGGTGGTGGCACGCACAAGTTTGGCTGCGTCGGCTTGAGCCCTGCCGCACTGGACAGTGACAAACCGCAAGGCCTTGGGCTGGCTGCAGTGGGAGGGCAGGGAGTTCCAGGCAGGCGAGCTGCAGGGCTGGTTGGTGATTTGCTCCCTGGGAGTTTGGGGCTTAGAAACCTGGGTTTGGAGCAGTCTCTCTTGGCAGCGCTGGGGACAATGCCATGGTGGTCAGCATGGCTCAGGCAGGTGGTGGCACTGGTGTGATACCCTGGCACCAGCTGGGCCCCATCCTCTGCCCAAGCAAGGACACAGATCAGATCTGGTCATCCCAGACAGCTTCATCCAAGAGTCCAAGTCACCAGGCAGGTCTGGGTGACAAGGCAGGGCCGCAGTCAAGCTGGAACATCAGCCTGCAGGGTCCCCTTGCTCCTGGGAGCTGGCAGACATTGGGGGTGCGAGCACCCACCTCACTCCTGCAAAAAGCTGGAGAAAGCAGCAATTTGGGCTCACCTGCCAGTCCTCTGCTACGGCCCTACAGAAAAACCTCCTTCCTTGCAGCTTTTCTGGCTGAGCTGTGAGGGGCTGAGCTATGGCAGCAGGGACAGCACTGTCCTGGCACGGGGACATGCCCCTGTACTTGCCAGCCACAGGGTGCTGCATGCCCCGGCCTGCTCCTCGCCCTTTAAGGCCCAGCAGCAGCTGATGGCCACGTGTGCGCTGCCTTGGCACGCTCTCCGTGCCCTCTGCGCGGCGGGCACGGGGACGACCGGCACGCTGGCTCAGGCGGCCATCCCCTGTCGGGTGGCTGTCCCCCACGCCGGCGCTGCTGGCGGCCAGCACAGGATGAGCGGGTGCCCGGCGGGCGCTGCGTGGGGTGCGTGCCACCATGCAGGCGGCAGGTGAGGGACTGCCCACTGCCATGCCCCACCATGGCCTCAGGGACTCCCCAGGATGCGGGATGGACTGTTCTCCTGCTCCCCTCACTAAGGGTTTATCTCTCTGCTTTCCTTCCAGGTTTCAAGTGCCCCATTTGCTCCAAATCTGTGGCTTCTGACGAGATGGAAATGCACTTTATCATGTGTCTGAGCAAACCTCGCCTCTCCTACAACGGTAAGGGCCGGTGGCCAGGCTGTGCGGGGGACACGGCGTCCTGCCAGCTTAGGATGGCTGCGGGTAGGCTGGAGAGACGCTTGCCGCAGGCTGCACAGGCGAGCAGCTCGGCTGGGCTTGCCAAGAGGGCTGTGATCCAGCGGACCGGTGTAGCTCATGGTCCCTGCTCCGCTCCCCCAGCATGGCTCAACCCTGCTGCTTTTGCCTTTGGGACCCTTTGTAACACAGCCCCCTCCCTGTGTTGTCACCACGGTGTGATGTGCTGGAGGGAGCCGTCCTGGCCAGGTGTCCTGCCTGGCTAGGGTAGGGGACATGTGTCCTCCTGGGCTGCGCCTCTGAAGGGCTGTTGCCTTCCTCCCCTCCTCGCTGGCAGCAAGTCTTATGGGGCTGAGCACTGGTCTGCAACCTCCTGCATCTCTCATCCTCTCTCCTGACCACTCCTGGAGAAGCGATGCTCACCCCCTCCTCAGTGATGCTTTTTTGGAAGCCAGGGGTAGGGGTGCGTTTGCTGCAGCTGCCCCAGCCCCATCTGCCCCTGACGCCATGCTTCCTTCCACCTGAGCCTCCTGCCAGTGTTTGCCGGTGCTGCTGCTGCTGGGCTGCCCCATCCCAGCTGCCTCCACGGAAGTGGCCGTGGGCTCCCCTCCATCCCAGGAAAGGGAACGCTGCAGTGGAGCATGTCTCACCCCTGCCCTCGCCTCCCCTCCCAGATGACGTGCTGACCAAGGATGCCGGCGAGTGCGTGATCTGCCTGGAGGAGCTGCTGCAGGGGGACACGATAGCCAGGCTGCCCTGCCTCTGCATTTATCACAAAAGGTACTGCGCGGGCACTGGGAGTGAGGGGACACAGCAAGGGGGGTGGCAGGGGGACATCCCGAGGCTCAGCAGCACAGTGGTGACACACTCTCCTCTCTGTAGCTGTATAGACTCATGGTTTGAAGTGAACAGATCTTGCCCGGAGCATCCTTCTGATTGACCCGCCGGGCGTGCTTGCTGACTTCTCTCTAAGGTGAGCCTGCGGCGGGCTGCTTCAAATGTAGTTTTTCCCATGCTGGGTTTAAATCCTGGGCCAGGAGGAGAGGATGGGGGGGGTTTGCTGTGGCTCCTGCTCCTCACCTGGGATCATCTCTCTCTGCCTTTGCAGGGCACCTTGCTATACCTGCTGTACCTCCTCTCCCTGTCCCCCCTGCCCCGCCTGGAGTTTTGGGCTGACTTTAAATTCCTCGAGAAGACAAAAATAAAACCCAGAAACTTGAATCCACTTGGGACAACAGCGAATTATTTTTTTTTAATTTTATTTTATTATTTTTATTGGTTTTGATGGGGGTTTTTGGTTATTTTGTTTTTTTTTTTTAATTTAAAAGATTTTAAAAAAAAAGAAACATCGAGGAGAAGACAGTGTGAGAAAAGCAGAGCGACCC